CTCACCTCACATCCCTAAACAAGTACTATTACGTCTTCGCCAATTCAACATAAAAGCATCACCCAAAAAATGCCTATTTACCAACCGACAGATTACTTTCCTAGGGCACCTCATTAACAGGACTCATATTCACCCGCCGAAGCCAACACACGAGCAGTCCCTACTCCCATCAACACTAAGGAGGTGAAACGGTTTTCAGGTATGGTCGAGTTTTTCCGTAAATTCATCCCCAACTTTGCGAACTTAGGAGAACCCCTCACTAGGCTAACCCGTAAAAGCAACTAATTTCATTGTTTGGAGCCTCGAGAAGCCGTGTTTCGCGAGCTACGCGATGCTCTAATCAATAAACCCCCTTAGGTTACCCAGACTACAACGAACCTTTTCACATCTTCACGGACGCCAGCTCTGTTGCGCAAACAGGCACTCTTATGCAGGAAGAGCAACCCGGTTCCAACAAGTTCTAAGCCATAGCTTACTGTAGCCGCACGTTGACAAAAACAGAACGCCGAGGCCGGCCGTTCAAATAGAATTATTAGGTGTGTGTGCATTAATTTCCGCCGTTTTTCGCGTGCAAAAACATACTTATTACAAAATTCAAACTAAATGTAGATTAACCAATGTATTGCCCATCGTTGGCTACAACTTCTTGCCATCTCTTAGGTATATTGTTGACTCCGGGTCTGAAAAAGTCTTCATCTTTTGAGGCAAACCTGTTAACCATCCATTTTCGCACTTCTTCAGCATTCCGGAAGCGTATATCTGCCAAGTGACTTGCATGGACCGAAAAAGGTGGTAATCAGGAAGAGCAAGAGCCGGAGAGTATTCGGGCTGAACAAGTTGATCCCATCCAACAACTGCAAATTTTTTAAAGGACATTCTTCGCAACATGGGGTCTGGCATGTTCGTGGTGGAACGGCACCTCATGATATTTTCTTGCGACAAACGGCCGCTTGGAGGTGAAAGCATCCTACAAACTGACAAGTTGGTGTTCGTAGCGGTCAGCAGTAACAGTTTCGTTCGGGCTCACCAGCTCATAGTTCAAAACACCCTTTTGATCCCACTACCAAATGCACGTACAGCATCACTTTTGGCGATAAACATTCCGCTTTCGTTGCAAGCTCTCGAGTGAAGAGAAACCATCTCAGCAGGCTCCTTCAGATGAAGCTTGTCCTCCATAGAAGCATCTGGTGGGCTTCAATGCCAGTTTTCATGAAATCAAACAGCAGGGGAAGGGCCCCCGGGGAACGGTTCATCACGTTCCATGACCAGTCAGTCTGAGAGCAACAGGATTTTGGGGCAAAACTGATCTGTCTGCCCTTAAGTAGGTAGCTAATACCCTACCTTACAGAATGTGATAGGTTTCACCGGTAAACTTCTAACATGGTTCGCGCAACGGCTGTTAGAATTCGGCGGCGGAAATCAATGGACACACCTAATAGGTGCCATTATTTATGCTCTACGCCAGTTCAAATCCTGCATTTGCATGATCCAAGTCACACTTCACAGCGACCATAAAGCGTTAACCTTCCTCTTAAACAAAAGCAAAACACAACAACAACATCGAACTGCAGAGCTACAATATCAAAGTGGTCCACATTAAGAGAACCAAAAACACGCGTTATCCCGGGTTCACGAAGACCAGACACCGTGGCCGTGCCAGACCAGGAATTACAGGACATAATAGACTTTCCGCTCAGTCTTCAAGTCCAAGTTGAGCCAATTGAGCCACCTGCCCTCGCTAGGGCTAACTGTACCTCCGTTCGCGGTAGTCCGGAGCTCATAGATTTCCGTCAAGAACAGCAACGGGATAATTTCCTTCGTCTAGTATGACTCGTCAAGACCGACCAGCCCTTACCACCCTCTATAAGCGACGAGCTTCGATCTAATGCGGCGGCAATAGCGCTTCACACTCTTCTGAACATCGATGGGTGCATGTACTACAAACCCCCAAGCTCAGTGGTACCCAATCTTTATTGCTGGTACCCCAAAAATTTTCCGTTTGCTCTTCGACGCCCATCACAGTAGCGCCCTCTCTGGAGGAAATACTGATTGGAAAAAGACCCTAGCTAAACTGCTATGCAAATATTACTGGCCAACTATCCATTCCGACATCCGTAAATGGCCTGAGGAATGCCTCACCTGTCAAATGCGACGTAATTCCAAGCCCGCTTTCTGCGAACGTTTGATCCCCGTGCATAACGAAACGGTATTGCCAAATGTCGGTCTCGACCTTTGCAATATACCGTCGCGCACGCCCTTCTCTCTGACTGCGTTCTCAATTATGGCACTATGCCTGAGCTTGTCTTGAATCAGGCATCAAGTTTCACATCCCACTTCTAGCAAGAATTTTGCAACCTTCTTCATATTCAGCATAGATTTGCAACCCCTTACCATTCAATGGGGAACAGGACAACAGAACGCACATTCCGCACATTCCAATCTATGCTCTCTAAGTTCATCAACTTAAAGCAGGAAGACTGGGATTNGGGGAGACCCGGTGTTTACCATCGACCGCATCTTACTCCCGCAAACCAGACCTCAGATACCCGGTCCATCCGAAACCGACGAGTATAGAGCGGAACTCGTGTCCGCACTCCATTTAGCATGGAAGCAAGCCGCGGAACATGCGCGCACCTACAAACAATCGATGGCAGCACAGTATGACAAAGCAGCGCGTCCGTCCCATATCAAAGCAGGGGGCCGAGTATTCTTCCGCAACTATACTAGCAAACAGGGACTTGCGAGAAAACTTTGCTTTCCATGAATCGGACAATTCCGAGTCCTTAGCGTCGACCAACCTCACGCGACTATACTGAGTAGACATCTCCGCAGTCCAAACCCCGTCGGGTTCACCTCAACCAAGTCAAAAAGGTAATCAATCACAGCGGACCCGCATAAACACTTCCTACCATCCCGGAAGAGGTGTCCTTTCTCGAACGCATTTCTCGGCGACGATATATCAGGCCATCAGCATGATTTAGCGCCGACTTCGCCGACGACCCCACAACAGGCTCTAGAGGGTCCTATCCCCCCCTCCCACACACGATATGACTTGCGACCGCGGAATCATGACAGGTAGCTTCTTCATCTCTCTAGATCATACTAACCTCTATTAATTTACCTTAAGTAACTTTTCAATGTCAAAGAACCCATATTATATTAAATTATCGCTCCACTAACCATTTCTAGTTATTCCGTTTCGGTTACTTCACCATGATCGAATCCCTTTCTCGTTCATCGCCTTCGACTTTAACACGTGCTACGTCGTCTCGTAACGTATTTCAAACGCACTTGATTTTCGATACTCACACCTTGCAGGTAATATGTCTGGTTCACCCGCCAGAGACACACCCAGTCCTGAAAACGTTGATGCTCTCGATTCCCAGAGCGTCACCTCTTCACAGGGACCCACGGTCATAACAGTATCAGCCCCTACTAACTTACAATGGGTATCTTCTTTTACTGGCATCTTCGTTGACAGCATGACACGTTAACCGTTATACGACAACGTCTAATACATTCTAGATGACCGTCGAACCCTGGAGCAAACCGATATCGACGACCCTATGGATCAACTGCCGCTCGAAGATGCATTCCAGCTCTGTATGGCGAGGAAGAGGCGCCAACTGCCGTTGGCGGGCGTCCTCTGAAGCTTCTTCGCAACATAATCAGCCCATTACATCAGCGGAATCGGCGACCAATAACAATAACAATGCTGGAGACAGCGCAACATCGCAAAAAAAGAGTGATCCGCGAACACCGCGCCAGCCCCATCCTGAAAATATCACGGGTCCACCCGCCAGTACGGCCAATCTCTTATCTCACAGAAAACTGCGTTGGGGGATGAACCCACACAGGCCACCCACGTACACGTCCTTTCGAAATTTCCTTGGAAGAGGAAGGAATTGAGTTTGAAACCGAGCAGTTCGTTAACCACCCTTGGAGCCACCTTCTCGCACCTAAAATACGCTCTGAGGTATCACCCTATTACGATCCCGAATTACCTGCTTCAATATTTGAGCGCATCACCGCAGCAGATTATAGCCGGCTGTCACCGTTCATCGAGCATAGCGGTGCCTACACCTCTAAAGGTCGCCCGGCGTCCATACTTGAAGCCGTCGGACCGCAAGCCATAGAAAGCTTTCGCCAGCGCCACTCTTACTTAGATCTATATCAAACGCGTATTGAAGGCAGGGAGCTTCCTCCTCTGGCACTTGCGGAAAAGGCATCCGCACTCGGAACGCTTAGTTACGTTAGGAGATTGCGCATCCACAAAGGAATACACCCAGTGTTATATCGCGTAAAGTCCCTTTTTGGTACGAGAGCGCGCCACGAATCCGTGCACACGGAGGTTCCCCTACCCGATCGCATGGACCTCCACACTGTCATGCTTGACCAATTCTACGTCAACACCCTTACCGGAAAACGTCGGATCGATGTCCTCCACATTTTGATTGGTGACCTAGTATGGGTATACATCTTGCTACCGTCCACCAAGTTCATGAGAGAAGGTCACCCCTACCCAGAAACCGTAGAAGAGGCGAGTCACCACCGCAAACCTACCATATGGCGCGTGGGCAAATTTGCTTTTATCCTCCGAGATCTCATTGAGACACTCGGATACATCGTTTCTCTCACGTCACAAGCTCAGCAAACTGTTCAGATTTGTATGAAGGGCCACCGCACCTTAGTCACGGTGAATAGCAATCGCCTCGACCCTGACGTAGAGAGCGCACGCCCCCGTGCCAATACGTTCATCACCGCGGACTTTCGCCCACGTCAATTAGATTACATGCTCTTTGCATGTACTCCTAAGGCCACGTATTCAACGAGCTTCGGAAATGTATGGCGGAGCTCCAATGCTTCCCAAGTCCGCCACCTGCCCCATCCGGCATACATCAGACTTCTCAAATCCATCAGCAGCAGGTTAACAGCAAACTCTCCGACTTTCGCATGTTTCAATCCAATCCAGGCGAAGTAATGCCCTTCTCAGAGTCCCTCTATGGCACCACTGTAGGAACGTTATCCGCATGTGTTGCCGAAACCATGGATACGTCGTCGCATTCTGCATCTGGACCACCTCCAATATCAATGAGTACCCCACTCTTGCGAACATCCAGATACCCAAGGTTAAGAAAACCGGCTGGACCGTTGGTCAACAAATAGAGGAGGCATACCAAAGCGACATCATTCGCGCCCGCATTGTTCATATCACCCCGCCGAAGAGCACATCACAGTTACTGCGCAGACTCATCCACACTATACCCCGCATTTTCGAATTTACATCACGCGGTCGCAACACTGTCGTATTTCCGCCGGAACACATCTTCATAACCTGACCGAGGACAAGTCCAGCCCCACGCTGACACTGCTGGAGCCAGCCGCTGTCAGCCTCCCGCCTATTTACTCTCCAGAGTAAGGCGCGGTCGGCAGCCCGTGCAATTTTGTCTGGAGACGCTACCTTTTCTGGCGAACCCGCTAAAACGCGAAAGACCATCACAGCCGCTGTCGCAGGCGAACATAGTGTCTTAAATAGTCATCAGGTTGACGCAATGAATTGGTTCCATGAGGATTTGCCGCTTCTGGTTATTGATAGCGCATATGGGGCAGGTAAATCACTTTGTACTGCACTAATGGCAGTAGAGGCCGTCAAAAAGGGTAAAACGGTGCTTATCGCAGCAGTACAGAAATCAGCATTGGACGTAATCTGCTCAAAATTAGCGCAGATGGATACACCCGACATCCATCCTGAGCGGTATGTAAACGAAATGCTAGCACGCGATACCCTTCGTACCGGCCCCTACGACATTGCCTCGTTTATGGAACGGCTACCCGTAACGCATAGCGATCACATGGGTCCGACCGCAGCTGCGATGTTTCGCGCCTTTGCAGATAAGCGTCGCCTCCTCGAATTTCTCTTCACGGGCGTGGACCAGAATCTCATGGCTTCAGAACATAAAACTCTCCTGATGTTCGAAGAGGCTAACTCCAAGCGCGTTAAAGCCCTCACCTCCAAGTTCCTTGAAATCTATCTATCCAACATCTTCATATGTACTATCGCCTCGGCAACTAACCTTACGACCAAGGAAGGGTGCCGCCCATCTAGGCAATGGGACACGTCCTCCTCGATGAAGCATCCATGATCCCAGAAGCCACACTCATCGGGCTCTTTTCGCGATTCCCTGACGCAACCTACACACTCATTGGCGACACTAAACAGCTGCCTCCTTTCGTAGGCACTCAAAAGGCTCCCCGCGCAGCTGCTCTTTGCTCCCGATCAGTTCTCGAAGTCGCGAAACGCGTAGGGAACGCGCCGACCTGCAAAATCAGCACCGTATATCGCCCGCATGCCAGGATGGAGCTGAATTCCTATATTTTCTATAACAACGAGCTCGTATGCGGAACACCCGTTGAAGAACGAAGCGCTACTTAGTAAGCTGCCTATGCCCAACAAACAAATTCCGATTGCATTCGTCGACGTGCTAGGCAAAGCCGTGAAATCCATCACAGGCTCTCAGAGTTACGAGATCGAGGCACGAGCCGCTGCCGTAATAGTTCGTCTTCTTTTGGCAGTCGGCATACCACCTTGTGACATTACGATTATTTGCCTCTATCGCGATCAGCTCTACCTATGCCAATCTATTCTCGCCAATACATATGTCACCATCAAGACTTGATAGCGCACAGGATTCAGAAAAGTCCATCGTCATACTATGCTCCACGCGCGCCGTGGTGCTAGGTGCTAACCTCACCTTTTTCGATGACCCCAAACGCCTTAATATCGCACTGTCCAGGGCCCGTGACGGAATGTTCATCCTCGGCTCAGTACCGTTAATGGAGGGTTCACCCCTATGGGGTTCTATTATCCGGTGGAGTCGTTCGCGCTGCGCACTCGCCACCCTAGATTTCGTTCGGAACCGCGCAACCCTCACACATTAACCCCACGAGTCCGAGGTCGGACTCTTTATAAAGGAGATGTAAAGGATGGGTGAAGCATGAGTTAGCAGAGTGAATATATTAGCCCCGAGGTTTTTGGTACGGTTGATATTTACAGTGGAGTTTGCCTCCGCGTTGATTCTCAGCTTCATGTTGTGTTTTCAGACGGCAGCAGAGATAAGGCTGGGAACCGTATAAAAGCCACGCACGACCGTACTCGACGCTATCTGGCTCTCTGGTACTCCGACTACATCAACCCAGGACGACGTCACGTTTCGACAGACCTCACTACCAACTCCGAATTACTCAATCCGGTGACCTACGGCCGAGGACACTGAATAAGTCTCGTGCTCGTCCGTCCCAAGGCCAGAGGCCCTGGGGCCATCCTTCATATACGCATGTACTCGTGTCGTCGCTACACTGCCTGTATTACTGCATGTTATCAATCGTGTTCCGGTTCCATATTGTGTCTTAAGGATAAACGATATTCTATATGAGGTGTTATTTCTTGGATAGGTCATGACCTGAGGCTGAGATTGGCGGGTATAAATGACTCCAATGGGACGGATCATTGCTATAATACAATGCAACATCAACCCAGATATTAGACGAAGACAAAAATATGGAAACAATTGATCAATCTCAGAAAACTGATAAAGCTAGGAAAGCTCATGCTTGGTTAGAACCACTGCCATTTTACGCTTGAACCTATTCAAAGCCTCGGGAAGGATCAGATTTTTTGTAACTTCTAAATACACTTTACCAGCTCTGAAGGTGAAGCTTGTGGTTCTCAAATTGGTTCGAGGTCCAAGATGAATAATTTTAGTCTGCCCACATCTCGTCCGAGAATGCGGTTTGTTGTAAACATCAAAGGCGCCAAAATCATTTCATTGGTACAGAAGTTTGTGAACCATACACACATCAAACACCATGTGCCGTGATTCCAATGTTGAGAGTTCAAGATATCTGTTACGAGTGGAGGCTCTTGGAATACCAGAATAGAAAAAGCATCTACATCGGAAAAGAATTCTACGAGTGAAATTATTTTGTGATGACGTCCTCCCTTCAGTTGGGATGGAACACTGTGGCACCGTTCTCGACCAGAGGGCGAATATATGTCTTATAAGCTTTGAGAAGGATTGACTTGTTCGTGGTAGACAGTCCAGTGAAAATGTGCGACGTGCGTAGTAATGCTAGCTTACACTGAGAGCGACTGAGCATGGAAAAGTCGAGAGCGCTGGTATAGAGAAAGCCTAGATCCCGTACACAGTTTACTCGTGAAATGGTAACGCCATAAATGGTATGAGGGCAGTAAGGAAAAAGGGCAGGATGATTGCCCATCGTCATATACACCGTTTTATGCGGGGCCAATAGGAGCTGCCACCGCTAAGCCCAGTCACTCAACAAGTTGATGGCCTGCTGTATCATCTTCCTTAAGCTCGGTAACGACTTTATAGATCTTGACATCATCAGCACACATTTTCGTTACAACATGTAACCCACTATCCTCTTGAATGGGCGTTTTCAGAGGGGGACGGGATATTGGTGCGTCCGGAGACGCACGCGGAAAGTTGCGAATAAATACTCACATGGTTTCCTTAGATCGATCGAATCGATAAGCTTGTTTAGAAGCAGCTTCAACTCTGGGTATCGTGATGATTTGTGTAGTTGCTTTACATTGTTGGCCAAGGACAGATCGCTGCGAGTGGTCGGAGGCCAATCATGAAAGGCAATTATTACGTGGCGATTATTTGTAATTATTCTATATTTTCATAGCGGTAATATCCGCACTTACTATTCTACTTGCTGAATTTAGTCCCCTATCATTCATAAATAACCATCAAACGAACCCCACAGGACCATCGCCGACCAAAAGTCACCTGCTGTTGCGGATGCGACAGCGGACACTGGGCGCACCGCGCGCGCCCCGGCCCATCTCTGCTAGGCCGCCACAACGCGGCGCGTATGTGCGCGCGTTGGGCGCGTTCCTTCGCATAGCCTAGCCAGCCGGCACTCGTCGCGACCGACCGGTTGTCGGCCTTTGGTCGGTATAGTTGGATAACGCTGTGAGATTGCATGTAAGGCAACTGAGCGCCCGTGTAAGCCCAACCAGTATCCGAGCACCCCTCTCCGTGGGCGTGCAGTCGTCACCTGTCGGATACTGAGGAATAAGGAAGGCAGGAAGACCGCCGAGGCCAATGGGCCCTGCAATGGACAGCTGGAGGAGCTTGCCTTGAAGGAGACCTGAAGGTTGAGGGATAGGAGAGTGTCGTGCTATTGCTCACTGTGTATATATTTACTTTGCTCTTTATATATATTGCGTCATTGCCATATTTCATGTGCTTTAGTCATGACAATCACTTTATGCTCTTGTGATATTCTCTGGCTCTGAACCACATATCTATCTTTATAGTGTAGCTCCCTATTTATTGTAGCATTTCGTATTGTAGTGTGGTACGTGGTTAGCATAATAAACCAGTGTCCCTTACTTTTGTACTTGTCTCGGGGAAATAAGTAAGGTGGGGCACTCTGGTTGGTCGCAACGGGAGAAGTAGGTTATGTCGCCGCGTTCAGTCAGCTAGTCCCTGTGTCGGGGGCAGGGATCCCGCCGCGAGGTACTAGGTTGTCGCTAGGCAAGGCGAAGGCCTTCCCAGCCGACACCCCATGGTCCTCCGGGGTTGGTCCACCCTCCTGTCTCGGGGCGCAGGAAGGGCGTGGTGGTCCTGTGAGCGAGGAGGTTTATGGGCTCGTACCGCCGATGCGGATTGCGGTCCAAAGGGTGGCCATGAGCTCGCGACACCTGTACTTACCCAGCTGGATCTAAGTGGACTCCCTGTCTACGCACCAACATCGCTACGAAGAAGAAGAGTTGGATACGTTCCATATATCCAGCCATCCATGAATTTCACCAAAACTCCTGTTCCAGGGCACTTCAGGAAAAGGCTTTATATGAAAATTGGGTCCTACTCGGACCGTAACTTGTAGACCAACAGCGAGTTCCATCTCAATAACATGGACGATTGTTCCTTCATTTTTTTGGAAAAGTTCACTCTGACCATGTTGTAAAACGATACAGCCACCTCATATTTTCCCGTCATTTCCTGTTTTCATCCCACACAATTTCTTGAAGGCACAACTCATGATAATTTTGAGATACCCTTTTTAGGTCGAAAACCGGAAATATTTGTCGGATATAGTGCATCGGTGGTGAAGGAGGCAACAAAATTTGCAGATTTTGCGAAAAATAAGGCTCACCAACGTAGTGAAAATAGAGGTTGGACGAGATTACTGTGACGGAAATAACATGGGAGGGGTATTCGGAAGAGATTTCATTTGTTGCAATTGCGTAAAGAGCTGACTACATCAAGCCAGAATTGTGCAGCACTGCCTTCCACTGTCGCTTTAGGGTAATGAAAAGTTGTTTGAACTTCCTACATGATCTCCTTTATGATCGGTGTAGCCGGTACGATCTTGAAGCCTTTATAAGGCCCGAACTAGGCCGTTCTACGGATAGTGCCAGATATGGTATACATGGGGTCATCGTAATCATCCTATGGAAAAGTCTCAGAAACCATTTTTATCATGAACTGTACCTTTAATTTGTGCCAAGCTTTCCAATTTCAGGTAATGGGTAAAGAAAAGTTGCTATCCGATTTGGAAAAGTTCAAATTTCTGCAAAAGAGGAGCAGGGACTGTCAAATCGCAAAGTCGCTCGAGATTTGGACCGATGCCACTGGTTTGTCGGCAACTTCACCGGGAATTCTACAGCGTAAGGGAAGTACAGGACGCCTTTCGTTGCTTTCAGAAGGATGTACAGGGTGTCCCAAAATTATTTGCGCCAAAGTTCAGTAATTTTTAAGGTAGAAATAATCTATCAAATTCACATTACCTGTTATTAATTAGTTGCATAAGAAGGTTTCCTTGCAATATGCATGGTTGCTGATGTGGAACTCCCATTATCTTTCAGATGGAGGAGGCTCATTCAATGCCACTTGCAATCATTGACGCGCGAGAAGTGGAAGGGCGTTATGAAATTCTTTGGGATTTTTCTAATAACCATGTAGGAGGCTATCAAACGATATAGAAAAGAAGATTGAATCAGAGACAAACCAGGAAAGATAGAAAGGTAGAATGTTTCTGAAGATAGGACTATTAAAATGGTCCGTATGCCAATCGGTCGAGATCCTGGGTGACCCATCAAAAGGAAGTCAACGGGCACGGCTTATCCGAGTTATCGCGATGGAAGAATGTCATGCAGGAGCTTCACTGCCGTTCCTATCGTATGCAGAAATTTCGCCTCGGTCCGATCTCAACAGATACTGCAGGGCCAAAAATGCAGAAAGTCGAAAATGGTGACACGCAACCCTTCGTCGTTTTCTCTGGTCAAGAAATTTTTTACGATAAAGCCATTCTCAACAACCAAAATGTTAGCGTTCCGAAAAAAACATCCAGCGTGTAATATCTCGCAAAAAGGTTGTTATCAGAACAGTAAAATGATGTTTCCCGAGGAAATCACTGGCAAGGGTAAGCCGCTCGTGGTTGCTTCGGTGCAGGCGTGAAAATGGACCAAGACCAGTACTCAAACGGCGTACTAATGGAAGTAAATAGAACATTGATCCGACTACGTTTTCTGAAACATCTCGTAGTCCTTCCAGCAGGATGCTGCTCCAGCCCACAGAGCCAAGTTTGCCCGCGAGTGGTGCCGACGACAGCTGCCCGACTTCATTGGTGAAGAGGAACGGTCATCCTATTTTCCAGAACTTGACTCACTTGAATCCCACGAATGGTCCCTGATTAGAAGAGGACCTGTCGAGTTCGCAGTCTCAGTTTGGAGTCCTAGAATGCAAAAGCTGGAGGACGGCTGGGAAGAAATGGAGAAGGATACCTGCGTGCCACATGCGATCAAGTCGAAAGCAAACTTTGTTTTCTATTCCCCCTCACGGGGGATATTTTGGAATGCGACTTTAGCTTGTTGTAGCACATAAAGTTAGCTAGCGTGCATAGAAATTCCGTCGTCTTTCGCAGTTGAGAAGTTTCAAATATATTGCTATAAATCGGCGCAAATAATTTTGGGACACTCTGTAAGTGGAGGAGTTTGATAGGAGCGTCGAATACGACGAAGTCATGTACGGAAATGAAGCTCTCTTCGAAGCTCAATGTCTTAATGATTACTGTTTGGAACGTGATAGAAAAAGCATGAGTTGATCGCATACGAAAGCATTCTTCATGTCCGGAAAGCATCGCAATAAGCGGCTTGCTTTCGCCAGGAATTGCATCCGACAGACCGTCGGAGTAAAATGCCCTCTCATAGCTTGTCGTTTACGCTTCTTTCTCTTGATGTTTCGTTCTAAAGGTTATTTTTTTTTATTAAAAAAGTTTAACTGTGATGCACCAAATGGAAGCCCGTTCTATTGGCATGATCTGAGAAAGGATAAGCTTCCGTTCTCCAGACGGAATTTCAAGGGAGGAGTATCTTTCTGAGGCCTTGGGAAGAAATTATCAGCTCCTGAATGAGAATCGTTTCTTCGAAAAAATCAACTGTGATTCGGACGGCGTTTCACCGCAGTAGGAATTCTGCATTCAGCACTTACGATTAGGACAGAGCTGATGCAGTGTTGACCCCATTTAGATTCATTTAAACATGAAAGTGGTGCGATGAAACGCCGTCTGAAACATCCTCAACTTTCCAAGAAACGATTCTGAGCTAGGAGCCAGTAATCTTGTTCCAATGCCTGAGCGAGGAAAACCCTTGGACTGGTGAACCACCGAACATGCTGTAAGAAACTGAATAGTCTTTGTTGAATGGATTACTGCAAAAATGGTTAAGCGTGAAAATTATAGGAACATTGTGTTGTTGTGGGTACCTTGAAGCGTTCGGAGAACCTAAACGAGTAAGGTTCCCACTTTAGCCCTCGACTGGTCGCAGCAACCGGTTGCGTGCCCACCCACTCCAAGAGCGTGTAAAGAGATGGACTAGGATCGCAGAGCAAGAGTTCTTCTTAATGAAAGTTTGAGTATTAAGAAAATGGTCTTCAGAGAGCGTTTCACAGAACACGGCGGTTCACATACAACTAAAGGGAGAGAGCTTAATTAGTGTTCACCCTTCCTAAATCCATTTAGTCATGAAACAGATACAGTGGCGCAAGTTCAGGAATGAAATAGACATACAGAACGTCGAAAGGAGGTTACGCGCTTTGTGGGAAGACACGTTGGGCTACAATTAGCCGCACTCTCTTCTTGACGTGTAAAGGACCACAATGACTATTTACAGTTGGAACGTGCTTAGGATATTGGCATCGTTTTCCCAGACTTATTACAAACGATTATCAAAAAATCACACTCTGTCGTTCAGATCGCCTTGTTTTTCGTCATACATCATTACCAAGTTGTGTTAGCACAGGTAAAACGGGACTGATAATCTCAACCTCTATTCATCTTTGAGATCTGTATGGGCAATATGCACTGGTTTTCCACCCTTTGTTCAGGAATCTCGCGCACACCTTTGGGCCAGTTGTAGCTAATAAACGACTAGCATAGATTGATTATTATATGCATATCGCAATCACCGACGAGGATACTTAGCTGAACTGTACATACCGTTTTCATTGAACTTTGTTGTTCGAGGGCTACGCCGTTTCCTGCTTCTATGTTCGATTATCAATCTGGCTTGAGTGAGATCTGTGCTCCAATGGGACAGAGACGTGAGTGGCGATTCTATCTACCGAAAGGATTTCAAGGGAGGGGGAGGACGTGTTTTCAGTCCGAGCTTCCGGGAAGGATTAGCACCAATATGGGGCAGATAAAGTGTAAATGGGCAAAATGTTGCAAAAATGCAGTGGAAGGGCGTGTGGAAATGAGGAAACGCACGTTTCAGCACGAAAATGATTGCCACTACTCCTTCAATGTCAACCGAATTTGATGACAATAGATGGCTTAGTGAGACGGGCTGGTGAATCGGTTTGAGTAGGCCGTTGCAAGGACTTACTCAGCTCTTACGTACTTTGCGTACTTCTTACAGTTTTGGGACGCTGTCCGTCTTCTTATTATTCGTGTCTTCTTCGTATGTTGTTTACTGGCTGCTCCGCCTTCTATTTTCCTCTGCTACCTGTCGGGTCGTCCGCTTACGCCGAGCTTCTCCTTCTCCTTTTACAGAGTCATTAGAAAATATAGGTAAGGTGGTTGGGCACTGTCCTATCTCAGAAACTTGGCACGTGTTTTCTTAGCTAATACAAACAGCTGATAGGAGATTGCCAGCAATATACATACCCCGAAGTTACCGTACTACCCTACATGCAGTTTGCTTAATTTATAGAGGTAATCAATAACAAAAGTGAACAATAGCCATACAAAGTGAACAGCATTTCACAACCAGGTCTCTGATCAACTAGGGTCAACTGTTAACGAATTTCCGCTCCTCGCCACGAAGAAGTAACTTCTCATTTTCCAGTTGGACTTTTCTTTCGTCTCTCATCGCAACTCGGACCCATTCATTCGCGCTACATTGCTAAAAAAACAATATATGAAATTCGCTAAATTATATTCATATGGAAGCTAAAAAATCGGGACTGCTACTTGAGAGAGATGAAAAGCGAAAGCCTTCCTGGTCATGCGCATAAGTTGATTTACCTTGCACGGTTTCGTTGGCATCATGCTGAAGACAATAATTCGCTTATGACATGAACTGCATTTGAAAAATCTTTTCTCTGCTGTCGTTCGGGTGACCGAGTGCCCTTCACGAATGCACAAATCACTTTGTCGTTGAGCAGTGTAGCCGCACTGAATAAGGAAGGTCAGTATTACTTGAATTAATTCACATTGTGAGGATAACCTTACTGTTGGGTTGTAACATAAGTTCGTAGAGTTTCTTCGCAGAGATTTATTTTAACAAGAAACAATAATTATAATAATAAATTAATCAATGATGTAGCCTCCTGTTACTGTTTGCGACCTCCTCCGACCTCTCGACCAATTTGTTGATGCCGTTTCGCCAAAAATCGGCCGGTCTGGTGTCGAAGAAGTTGTTGAGCCAGTTTTCAAGAACCTCTTCGCCATCGAAGGTAACACTCCTCATTTGGTTTGACAGAGAGCGGAAAGGTGGTAGTCGGTAGGTGCAAGATCCGGAGAGTACGGTGGATGCTGAAGAACCTCTCATTCAAGCTTTTGA